ATAACATGGGGAGAAATGCCAGGTATAGGTGACAGGGGGATGGAGGCAGCAAAGCACATTGCCATGTATGTACCTATGCAACAATCCTGCATGTTCTGCACATGTACCCCAGAACCTAAAATGCAATATATGAAACAAAACAAAACAAACAAAAATCTTGTACCACTACCACATTTTTAAAGAGTGATTGCTCAGGGGTTATTTTTAAAAAATAAATTTAGGGCTGGACGCGGTGGCTCACGCCTGTAATCCCAGCACTTTGGGAGGCCGAGGCGGGTGGACCACTAGGTCAAGAGATTGAGACCATCCTGGTCAACATGGTGAAGCCCCGTCTCTACTAAAAATACAAAAAATTAGCTGGGCATGGTGGCGCGTGCCTGTAATCCCAGCTACTCAGGAGGTTGAGAAAGGAGAATTGCCTGAACTCAGGAGGCGGAGGTTGCGGTGAGCCGAGATCGCGCCATTGCACTCCAGCCTGGGTAACAAGAGCGAAACTCCATCTCAAAAAATAAATAATAAATAAATAAATTTAATAGTTGTAAGAGATGTGTAAGTTCCCACATAATGTAAAATGTTAAAATAAAATTACCTCCTCCCTCCTCCCCCCTTAAAATTTACATGGTTTGTTTCCTCTTTTATTTTTTATTTAATTTTTTTTTTTTTTTTTTTTTTTTTTTTTTTTTGAGACAAGAGTCTCTCTCTGACTCCTCGCTGGAGTGTATGGCGCAATCTTGGCTCACTGCAACCTCTGCCTCCTGGGTTCAAGCGATTCTCCTGCCTCAGCCTCCCGAGTAGCTAGGACTACAGGCATGCACCACCATGCCCAGCTAATTTTTGTATTTTTAGTAGAGACAGGCTTTTACCATGTTGGCCAGGATGGTCTCAATCTTTTGACCTCGTGATTCACCCACATTGGCTTCCCAAAGTGCTGGAATTACAGGCATGAGCCACAGCACCCAGCTTCCTCTTTTATTTTTTATTTCCATTCCACATCCCTCAGAGTTTCGTTAAATGTACCATTTTTATCTTTAAATGTCTTATTCATATCCCAAACATTTTTCTCTACAACAGAATATGATAAAAATTTAAATTAATATTTACTTTGCTATAACCCAATGAGATTAGGCATGTTCAGGGTGATATGGCCATAGACACTTACAACCAAAAAGCTATAATTAATTATTTAACTTTTTTCTTCTGGATTAAATTCTCATGACAATTATTAGTACATGAATGATAAAAAGAAAAAAACTAAATATATTACACACTTTGCAAACATTGCAAAAAGTAAACATTGGTGGAAAATACATCCTGTAATCATATCTTTTAGATAAATTAGTTCAAGTATCCATAAATGAGATTATTGCTGAAAAGAGACAGGGTTTGGTTTTAAAAAAATACATACACACACACACACACACACACACACAGCAAAAAAGTGATTTAGCATAGAAGCCATAACACACTACTGTTACCAAAATTTAATAGGTTCAAGGTAAGAATAAAGAATGAGCAAATAAGTTGTTGAGAACTTGTTAAGAGCAAGCAGATGCTTGAGCCCAAGTGAAAACATGAACGTACACTTGCAATACTCAATCAATGTTGACGAAAGTTGGTGAAATATTTCTCCTGTGAATCTGAATAAATGTTAAGAAAATACAAAACCAAAATTTACCCTTAATGTAGAACGCTGTTACTTGGAAATATGTTAGTTGTCGTTATTCCCCTGAGAATAATGCTGAGTCAGTACCTGATCAGTGTCCTTGATTAAGGAGTCATCTTCCAGTGACACCATGTGGCATTTCAAATTGTCCCTTTGTCTGGAGCATGCCAGGCTTCAAAAGTTGATGACGTACAGCATCAGGAACGATGCCTGGCATGGAGAAGGTGCCTCATAAGTGTTAATTACCCCTGTGCAGGGACCAGGACTGCTAGGAACAGGAGAGCTTGGCTGAGGTCAGCAGGTGAGCTGCACCACCCACATGCTCTAGGAAAGAGCCCCTGGAAAATTTGGGCAGCTGGAGGTTGATGCCCTTCAGAACTCTGTGAGTCCTGCAGTCTCCTTGCACCCTGAGTCATCTGTCTCAGATGGTAAGGTAAGCAGCTGGTATTGGAGCCTGTGTGCTCAGTTCTGACTCTCCAGCAGGTGGCCCTGCACGTCCATTGCTTCTTAAAGGATGCATTGCAGGTGGCTCAGTGGCAACAAATCTGAGCTAAAAGAGCGACATAAATGTGTTCCTATTTCTCTCTGCTGATTTTGAGGACAACAGGGATATTATGAGAGAAAACAAAGAAGTATGTGGAGGAGTGGCCACAGGTTAAGTATTTCAGAAAGAGAAAGGATGTGACCGTTCTTGGAATTTAGGGAATGCAAACATTGTAAAAGTCACTATTGATAACAGATCCACTCAAAAAAACAAAATTATTTCAAAATAAAAGGATTAGTTTAACATTATGTGATCATTCTAATAAAAACACCATGGTACAGCAACAACAGCAAAACATTAGCTCGTGCTTCTGATTGCTGAAATTTTTAGTTCTCAGCATGAGATGGAATTGAGTCTCCAGAATCTGTCATGTTTGTTTAACCAAACTTTTTTTTTTTTTCCTTTTGGAGATGGAGTCTTGCTCTGTTGCCTAAGGCTGGAGTGCAGAGGCATGATCTCAGCTCACTGCAACCTCTGCTTCCCAAGTTCAAGTGATTCTCCTGCCTCAGCCTCCTGAGTAGCTGGGATTACAGGCATGCACTCTTACGCTCAGCTAATTTTTATATTTTTAGTAGAGACAGGGTTTCACCATGTTGGCCAGACTGGTCTCAAAACTCCTTACCTCGAGTGATCTGCCTGCCTTGGCCTCCCAAAATGCTGGGATTAGAGGTGTGAGCCACCACGCCTGACCTGTTTAACCAAACCTAACTAAACGCACAGACAATGGGAGCATGCATTTCCATGGAAAACAACTCTTCTGGGAACAGAGACCACTTTGGAGAGTATAATGCTCCTCCAGAAACCCATATTCAGGAAAACAGTTGGAAATTGTGTTAGAGAATCCTTGCCAAGTAGGAAGGCCTAAAGAAAAAAGCAGAGTATAAGGAGATGAGGAAGGAACCACTACATATGGGTGTCACATTTCGTTAGCTGTAAGCGGTTGGTCAGTTCCAGTCCACTCTGCAGTTGGTCTCCAAGAGTCTTTCTGGCCCTGTGCTTACTCCCATGGCATCACCCAATCTAATGCTCCAGCTCCAAATGCTCACATTTTCTCGGACTGGCATATCCTCCAGGCCCTTCAAATATCAGCATGTCCAAAGCCAAGCTCTTGATTTTTCTCTCCTCCTGTCACCACTGTGGCAGGCAGAATGCTAAGATTCCTGGCCCTCCCCTTGGACACTGGTGGGCCTGACCCAGTCAGGTGAGCTCTTTGGAAGAGGGTGCAGAAATCATAGATGAGAGAAGTCAGAGAGATTTGAAGCTGCAGCAGATGTTCTCCCTCTGTCCTTGAGCAGATGCCACATTGTGGAGGGGGTCACATGGCAGGGAACGATGGGTGACTTCTGGGGCAAGTGCCTCAGTCATGTGAATTCTGCCAACAACTCAAATGAGCTTGAAAGCAGATTCTTCCCCAGTCGAACCTCCAGATGAAGACACAGCCTGGCTCACTCTTTCAGTAGTCTTGTGAGACCCTGAGCAGAAGGTCCAGCTAAGACTGGCTCAGATTTCTGAGCCACAGAAACTGAGACACAAGAAGCAGGTGTTGTTTGAAGCTGCAATGTAGTGATTTGTCACACAGTAATAGAAAACCAATACAACCCCCCAATGGCTCTCCATTTCCTTTGCAACCTTCCAGTGAGTTAGGGACCTGTTGGACTTCACTTCTGGGATGTCTTCATTTGCTCCGTCTCTCCATCCTCTTGGCCATTGCTTAGATTTGGGCTTCTCTCTTTGCCCAACTGGACCTCTGCTTGTCAGTGGCTGACATGGCCCCTGAATGAAATGCAGACATCCTCACATGGCATCTAAAGGCACCTCGATTCACCTACACCCACTTCCATCCACATTTTCTGGAAATTTCCCTCTTTATTCTGCAAGTGGAGCCTCATAAGCCTACCAGGAGTAGGAAAATCCATGTTTTCTTAGTGGATTTTGCTCATCTATATATTTGAATGTGTTTCATGAACAAATAAAATTTTAAACTTGAATACCAGAATTATTCAGTACCTAAGGGAATCACGACTCAATCTCAATGTATTTCACATTTCAAATATCCTTTGTCATCAAAGTACCACCCGTGTGGTCAAACTTGCTACAGTTCTTATGGTAAACATATCTCACCTTAAATATATTGAATCCAGAATTTTTGAAATTGAAAAATTCAAGAATTGGAGATCCCTGCTCTATAAACTTTAACGTGGTTCTGAGGCCAATAAAACTTGTAATTGTTAATGTTATCTCATTCAAATGGTCAGGAAAGTAGACTGTCACCCACTGTAAGTCTTATATCAGTGCATACTTATTATTATTATTTTGAGACAGAGTCTTGTTCTGTCTCACCCAGGCTGGAGTGCAGTGCAATCTCAGTTCATTGAAGCCTCCACCTCCAGGGTTCATACGATTCTCCTACCTCCGCCTCCTAAGTAGCTGGGATTATAGTCATGTGCCACCACACCCAGGTACATTTTGTAGGCTGAGGTGATCCACCCACCTAAGCCTCCCGAAGTGCTGGGATTACAAGCATGAGCCACCATGCCTGGCCTTCTTCTTTTTCTTCTTTTCTGTTTGCATATGTATTATTAAGCCCATATGTACTTTTGTTTGTTTTGCTATTTCTTTGATTGTATGCCAAATCTAAGTTTCATGCTGTGGTGTGTGAGCTGATTAACCTGTATAGCTGGAACTCTTATGTCTTGTGTAGCAATTGTAATATGCAGACAGCAAACTTTTTTTTTTTTTTGAGGCGGAGTCTCACTCTGTCACCCAGGCTGGAGTGCAGTGGTGCAGTCTCGGCTCACTACAACCTCCTGGGTTCAAGCGATTCTCCTGCCTCAGCCTCCCCAGTAGCTGGGACTATGGGCACCCGCCACCACACCCAGCTAATTTTTGTATTTTTAGTAGAGACAGAGTTTCACCATGTTGGCCAGGCTGGTCTCAAACTCCTGACCTTGTGATCTGCCCACCTCAGCCTCCCAAAGTGCTGGGATTATAGGTTTGAGCCACTGTACCCATCCCCCCTTTTTTTAATAACTTATTTTTTTTTTCTTTTTTTTTTTTTGGTACAGACAGGGTTTCTCTGTGTTGCCCAGGCTGGTCTCAAACTCCTGAGCTCAAATGATCCTCCCACCTCAGCTTCCTAAAGTGCTGGGATTACAGATGTGAGCCACTGTGCCTGGCCTGACCTCCTCTTAACTGGATGGCATCTGCAAAGACCTTATTTCCAAATAAGGCACATTCATAGATTCTAGGTGGACATTACTTTTGTGGAGACACTATTTGATCCAGGACAGATATACTTATTTAAATACAACTCACATGATTTTCATGTGAAATGGCTTCCACATTCAAACACTTTCCACGTTTGTACAGCTGCCATGCTCTGGGCCTTTGCTCCTCGGGTCTCAGCTGTGGCATCTGGTGTGCCAGCGTCACTCACCACCAGTCCATCCTACTGTATGGGTGGGAGACAGATGCCAGCTTGCCTGGCTATGCACCTGCTGCATGTGGGGTGCTGCAGAGGCACTTTATGTGTATGGTACTTAGGGAACTGAAGCCCCAAGGCTTTATCTGTAAAAGTGAGATTTAATTTTTTAAGACTATACTTTATTTTTATCTCAAAGACCCAGATCTGTCTAATGTAGAAACTAATAGAATCCTTTCCAGACAGAGGCACTGACTCCAGTGCATTTTCTCAATCAGTTCCCATGGGGCCTTAGTTGTAGTTAGAATTCATGCCCCTCCACTCGCCTCCCCCAGGTTGATGGGAAGCTCATGGCTGATGCCGATGCCAGTGCTGCTGTCTGTGGACAGCTTGTGTCTTTCAGTTTGTGTGTCCCCGGCCACAGTGGGTATGAGTTCTGGCCTAAGTGACAGCATCAGGATAGACAAAGGACTGCAGGGACCAAGTGACCCCTGGATTCCTGCTTCACCTCATCCTGCCGCAGTTCCCCTGGTAAGTTGTGTGTCTCTGCAGAGAGCATTTGTGAGCAGAGGAAGTGGGAACGTGCTCTCTGTTGACAGATTCTCCAGAATCTGTTGCTCTAAATAACGGCTTGTACATGTGGACAGCAGAACACCCTGCAGGTAGTAACTTTTGTGCCTAACAAATAACTGCATGTTTTCCAATTCCCAGCCAGGAAGATCCTTTGAAAATGCGATTGGGAACAGGTTGGGGAGGGTAAGGCAGCTTCTTCCTGGCTCTCTGTTGATCTGCAGTCTTGTCCCCCACCCCACCCACCCAGCCTTTACTGCAGGAGGGGCTCCGTTAGGGTCAGGACCAGGCCCAACATATTTACTGAGCCTCCCTGGGTTACACTTTCAAGCAACCAGGAACGGAGAAGCACACAGGTAGCTAAGGCTCCCAGGGCTCCCCAGGGAAGAGCTCTCACAGTGAACTGGGAGTGTGCACTGCGTGGACAGTCCAGGGCTCCCCCGGGAAGAACTCTCACGGTGAATTGGGAGTGTGCACTGTGTGGACAGTCAGCCCCTCTGATGACTGGCAGCTGCCAAGGCACCCACACCATTCAGGCCTTTGCTCCCTGCTGCTGTCATTCTGCTTCAGTTTCTACCTGGATACTTCATTTTCTACATCTCAGGTTGAAGTTTCTCAAAAGAGAGCATGTGACTCCTTTAGCAAGTCATCATTAGAACTAAAATTCCCCAGCTGTGCAGGACAGTCACTCCAGGCTCTCCCCAGGCCACCAGGGCCACGAGCCCAATCCCACATGCTGATGGCTGCCTTTGGGTCTGATGCTCATCTGGCACAACTGCACAGCACACAGCACGACCATCTGTGCTTGGGGACCCCCTAGAGCGTTGTGGGCATGTAGGGCCCTCTGGGACTTCTCCCAGGACAAGGGCTGCACAGCTGGCAGACCCCACAGAGCCTGCAGGACAGCTCAGCTCACAGGACACATGGCTGGAAAGGCCTTTTGGCCATTTGCACTGGCTCACTAGGAAGAGTGCTGGAAAGAAGCAGGCAGCAGGAGGCAGAAGTTTCCCATGCCTTCTTCCTCCACAGCTTTGGGATTGGGTCGGGACTCTCTCCTTGCATTTGTAAAAACAGAGCTATTTTTATTCTCTAGTTAAAAGCTGTCGCTGCACTCAGTGCATGCTTCTTGATTCCGTGGTCCCCAGGCAGCATTTTTATCCAAGAATCTAGAGGGGCCGACTGGGCAGAGAAGTTCAAGCAGGCAGTTAAAAAAATGGAAATGAGCATGTAGAATTAAGCCCTTAAAATCTTGTGACTCACTCCTTTGGAGGAACTGCAGTTATTCCAGTGACTACCCTCCACCCAAAACAGCAGCAGCAGCAGCAGCAAATCCTAGTCTAAACATTTTTTAATGAGTACTTCTTGCTCTCTTGTTCAGAACATTTATATAATACCTTCTACGTTAAAGAAAATCAATTTAATGGATTCAAAAAATTGGCTGCAATCTCCTCCAATTCTGTGAAATCTTCCTGGACTACGCCACAGATTTTCATGTTCAAAAAGCTCAAAAGAGCTTCAAAACATAACGCATTGCTTTTTCCACTAGAATTTACAGGCTTTTTACAAAGGTCAACAAAAGCATCATGGAATGAGAGTAAGTCTCAGTGTGGCTGTGGGTAATGATCAGATCTGTCATTCTGGCTCCTTGTCTTGCATTGCCAGGTCTGCACTTTCTGGACTGTATGTTCTATGTTTTACTGCAGTTATTTTTAGCCATATATATGTATGTTTTTTTACCAGAGATAGAGTCTGGCTGCCATGTGTCTGAATAGGAGCCTTGTGATCAGCTTAACACTGGATTTTTCCTTTTAACATTTATCTTTTTAGAGATGCATTACTGTTGATGTGTTAGAGTGGCACATAGATTTTCAAAATACAACATTTTTGGAAAGACTGTTCTGAAAAGTCACTGTGTGTCATGTCAGCACAGGCTCCAACTGACACTGAACTCCACCTCGAATCCTGAACTAGCCGCGTGCCCGGCTCTACGTGAATTTGAAGAGAAAGTGAACAAATGAATGGGTGGATAAAGCTATTCTTTCTTTGCTTTTTTCCTTCTCTGCTTCAGATCTTCCTCTCAAGCAGGTTTATAGCCGGAGGAAAGTTAAAGTACTTTCTCTTTCCCCCACTCTTCCCACACTGGCAAGCAGAATTATATATATACAGAGAGATTACATATATAAAATATGTATTATATACCCATGTATATGTACGCATATGTGTATCTATATATATTTATATAGGCTGAAAAGGCTTGAGACTCAAGGTTATAGTTACTCATAATCTGAGACTACACATCTGGATAAACGCATAAAACTCTGCGTTTGCAGGTTATAAATATAAATATAGGTAATCTAATTCTATCCAAGGCAAAAAAAGATGTATAATCCCTGCCCCCCTGTAAAACTGCAACACAGTTCAAAATTTTCGCCATATGTATAGTCTCTGGACATAAGGACAGAAAGCCCCTTCCTTGATTCAGGTCCAGGTTTTGAGATGCTGGACCAATCACCAGTGGGGTGTGAGAGCTGTTTAAACAGCCTCCGCATGGTTCCAGTTTTCAGGTATACTTGGATTGACTCCTAAGATTGTATATGAAACTAAATTGAAGTTACTTCCCTCGAGATTTCTTGCATTCATTTAATCTAAGGAAAATGCAGAAATGCTCTTTAAAAAGTATCCCTGCACTTTGCGAGGCCTAGATGGGTGGATCACCTGAGGTCAGGAGTTTGAGACCAGCCTGACTAATATGATGAAACCCGTCTCTGCTAAAAGTACAAAAATTAGCCCAGCGTGGTGGCGCTCACTTGTTGTCCCAGCTACTCAGAAGTCTGCGATAGGAGAATCACTTGAACTCAGATGGCAGAGGTTTCAGTGAGCCAAGATTCTGCCACTGCACTCCAGCCTGGGTGACAGAGCGAGATGCCTTCTCAAAAGAAAAAAAGTACCGTTCAAAAATTGTAATGCTTAGCAGTTCACAAAGTATGTTGCATTATTCATTTCATGTGATCCTCAGAGCAAACCTCAAGGCTGTATTTTTCCCTCTAATCTGCTACCTTTTTAATTACTTTCATTTAACCTGCATGTGTGCCAAGCTGAGGGTGGTGGCTGAGAAGAGGGACTGTCTTGTCTATAGCTGTGAAAACGTCCTTGTCATGCTTGCCACAACCCTGACAGGTGACTGGACTCATGAAGTTTTGTCTTTTATTGAAAAAAAAAAAAGTAAGACTCTCAACAAAAAGTTAACTTTGGCAGAATTTCCAAAATATAGTTTAATTCTCAAAATGTAGGTTCATTTTCATTTGGTGTTTCTAAGCACAGTTTCACAAAGTCCCTCATTCTCTGTATTCCAAAGAGAGAACCACGAACTTCTTCTTCAAGAAAGCAAGATGGTAGCACTTCATTTGTAGTCACAGGAGGGCTCTGAACACATGAGCGAGAGCTTAAGTCATGCTGTGGCCCCTCACATGGAAGGAGATTTCAGGAAGCAGAGAGATTGGAAGCGGACAGCTGCCCCACAAGCAGCACAGGGAGTTTTGAGAATCCTGGGCCCTCACACATGCCTCCCGATGCCTACAACGGGAAGGCCTGAGATGAGCGGGAGGGGGACTGGTGGCCAAGTTGACTTGCTTTTTGCATGTGCATTGTATTAGGACAATAGCTTGAATAAAATTTTATTTTTATCTTAGTCATTTTCATCTTTTCTAATCTACTAATGTATGTTAATTGCCATGCTGTTGTGAGCCTCAAGCTAATTTTGGAACTTTGCAACTAATAATGCTGATTGAGATTTGTCACCTACCAGGTGACCTGTCAGGATTCATCTGTGAGCCTGGGATGAACCTTCTGGATTTTTATCATTTCTACATGCTGCAAGAATGCCATTATCCATTTCTCATTTATATTTTTAAAAATCCAAATATTTGAAGATTATGTTTACTAATTAATCAGGAAAAAAACTTGTTTAAAATGTTGAATCTTGCTTGTCGTCACTCCTCATCTTGCATGGATTATGTAGAAAAGAACCAAATGCTGAATTTAATTATAAACATACAACACTTGTTGCAGTTTACTTCAGATTTAAAATAAAGGGACTAAAACATGAGGAAAACATGTGTGCTCACATGAAATTATACTCATTAGTCAATAACCTGCAGTAGATTTCCACCAAAACATCTCTCATGTGCTGTACTTAGTGTTTCGTGATGTTTTTTATAACATCACTTATTTCTAAGCCAACGTGGTTTATTCTTCTGCAAGTAAAGGCAGTCAGGAGATGATGGTTTCAATTTTCCCTTTTTTATTTTTAATTAATTAATTTTTTTTTGAGACAGTGTCTTACTCTGTTGCCCAGGCTGGAGTGCAGTGGCATGATCTCAGCTCATGGCAGCCTCCACCCCGGGTTCAAGTGTTTCTCCTGCCTCAGCCTCCCGAGTAGCTGGGATCACAGGCATGCACCACCACACCTGGCTAATTTTTGTATTTTTAGAAGACAAGAGGTTTTGCCATGTTGGCCAGGCTGGTCTCAAACTCCCGACCTCAAGTGATCTGCCCACCTCAGCCTCCCAAAGTACTGGGATTACAGGCGTGAGCCATTGTGCCTGGCCTAATTTTCCCTTTTTGATGGACTGACTTTCCAATTACCTTTCATTTTCTTAGCTGAGAAGAGAAGACATTCATCATTTCTATACCTTTTATTGGCAGTTAGAAGCTATTTTCCCCACTTACTTTTTATGTGAGAGGAGAAAAAAACACTACCCTGTTTCAGAATATAAACAGCTTTAAAACCCTTGATAAGCAATGGGAAACTGAAACCATCAAACGTTTCTGCAAATATCCAAAGTTCTGTGTGCTTTCGGCGATAGCAATCTACCCAGAGCCGGAGGAACGGAGGAAAGCCGGGGGGCAGGCCGAGCACCAGCCCACACTCTGTGCACCGTGTGCTACCACACAGACTCCACAAGGGGAGAGTGGACATGCTCATTCCTTCTTCGGACATAGCAAAATAACCAAATGCGTGAAGACACGTTCACTTATGTGACTGCATTTTCTGTTTGCGTTCAAATATTTGGCACTGTCAGTGCCCAAGTGAGGTTTTCAAAACAATGTTTGGCTCGGAAACATCACTCACCATGAAATCGAAGTCAAAGCATCGTATTACTTCTCCTGGACCCATTTGCTCTAAGGTCTTGCCTTTAATTAGGAAACGAAAGCCGCGCTGAACAATCCAGGCAGAAACAGGCAAGTGGAGGTGTTTTCTCTCTCAGTACCTTATGGTCAGCCACACCCTGGAGACTTGGCTTATCAAGTAATTTAGCTCCATGTATTTTAGGTGCCTGGGGCTGGGGTGACAAAATGCCACAAACTGGGTGGCTCACAAAGCCCAGAAACCTGTTGTCTCCCAGCTCCAGAGACCAGAAGTCTGAGGTCCTGGCACTGGCAGGGACATGTCCTCTCTGCAGCTCTAAGATAGAACCCTTCCTCCCAGCAAGCCTCAGTGCTCCTTGGCGTGCGGCCAGGTCACTGCAACCTCAGCTCTGTCTTCACACGGCCTCCGTCCCTGTGTGTCTGTGTGCTTTTCATCTTCTCATAAAGACACCAGTCATGGGTTCAGGGCCTGCCCTCATTCAGTATAACCTCATTTTAATGAATTGCCTCTGTAAACGACTTTAATTGTTTCCAAGTAAAGTCCTGTTCTGAAATCCAGATGGATGTGAATTTTGGGGTGTGCTATCCTGAGTCACCTACTATTCACATAGGGTTACAAAGCACATTCTGTGATCCTGCCCTCCTGAAAGCCACTCTGACTCAATCTTCCAATGGCTCCTGATGGCGTTGGGCTGTGTCTCCACCCAAATCTCATCTTGAATTCCCACGTATTGCGGGAGGGACCCGATGGGAGGTAATTGAATCATGGGGTCAGATCTTACCCATGTTGTTCTCGTGAGAGTGAATGAATCTCGTCAGATATGATGGTTTTAAAAAGGGACATTTCCCTGCACAAACCCTCTTCTCTCATCTGCCACCACAGGAGATGTGCCTTTCACCCCCCGCTGTGACTGTGAGGCTTCCCAGCCATGTGGAACTGTAAGTCCATTAAACCTCTTTCTTTTGTAAGTTGCCCAGTGTCAGGTATGTCTTTATCAGCAGTGTGAAAACAGACTAATACAGCTCCTATGCCCAACCATGTCTCATGTTGCAGAGTCAGCCAGACAAATGCTAATGGCGGAGTTTAGAGCAGCTGAAGTTTACTGGTAGTTCTAAAAGGAAGAAGAGAAAGAAAAAGAGGAAGAAAAATTGGGGGGAAATGGGAAGAAAAAAATGCTTAGTAGAGACCAGAAATTGTAGCCGGGAGATGACAGTGCAAGCCCCTAGCTGTGGAGCCAACTCTGGGCACAGCAGCCTGCCCTGGGCCAATGAGTACCCCGCTCACCCACAGTGTCACAGGTGAGTTGCATTAAGCCGCATATTTGAAGCTTACTGTAAGGTCTTACCTTGAAAAGTGTGAGTGAAATGATGTCCGAGACTGGGTCTGGAAATGCTAGTTCCGTGGGACAAGCGGCAGATAACTGCCATTCATTCAGAGTGTTGGGAGCAGGTCCGGGGAGTCCTGGCACAGACAGCACAGAACGCACAGCCTCTTTCAACCCATTGTCTAGAGCCTCGTGGCTGTCGAACATGGGAGTCCCTCCCTGCAAGGCCTAAGAACACAACCAGTTGTCCACACACGAGGAAGCAAGGATGGCTTAACAGTGATGCTTGATTGATGATTGATTAGCACCAGAGAGAGCCCAAGCAGTGCTAGGATATTGAAGCCAAGTCAGAGAAGTTATCTACTGTGAAATCAATAACATTTAAGGTACAAGGCTCCTCCTTCTAAATAAGTACCCACTTTTGTGCCTCATTGTTTATGTGTAGTTTTGCGTTCCTTTCCTTAGGGCAATCTCTAAACTACAAAACCTTCAGGCTGTGCAAGCCTGGATCCAGCCTTGGGCTAATTAAGGACAGAGCTGCTCAGGAACATCAGGCAAAGACAGTTAAGGCACCCCAGCCCTGGCTTCCAGCTGCTGCCACAAATCATTGCCCAGGATGTCACATGGGCCCAATTCCAGAGGCTTCTGCTCTCTCCTGATTCAAGTCACACTGTCTATTCTCAAAAACCATTTAGCTCTTTGATGTACTTAATTTGATAAAATAAAATTTAAGAAACCATTTGTGTCAGCAGCTCCACTGCTACTTTTAGCTTAGGATATTGATGATTGAGAATTATCTCAGTCCATGGTCAATCTCTTGGAAAGCTTTAAAGCGGACAGCCATATGCCCAGAACCCCAGAAAGTCGCAGCAGGAACGTCAGGATGCTTGAGCCCCTGGGGTGTCTCAAGCCCAGTAGGTTGAGGACTGTCGATAGAAATCCAGGCCTGCTTTCTGGAGTGTGGTGGGTTGTTAGGATGGGGTGTCTGGGAAGAAGCTGGGGAGCTTTCTGTGCACTTGAAGTGATGGGTCGGGGGTTTTGGGCACATGAAGGAGCCAGGGAGGCAGCTGGGCATGGGCGGTAGGGTTTCTTCTCCCCATCACTCCTCTTTGGGGTGCGCTTTTGAGATGTGTAAGGAAGGTTTTCCTCCTTTTGGAACTTTGGGTCCAGTGAGGCCTTGGAGTTGGGAGTGGGCATGGCAGGAGCAGATGGGGGTAGGAGTGGGTGGGGGCAGGAGCAGGAGGGGGCAGGAGCAGGTGGGGGTAGGAGCAGGTGAGGGCAGGGGTGGGTGGGGTGTACAGGGAAGGAAGGAAGGGCTAAGGCTGTGGGCAAGGCTGGGGGCCCGTGGCCAGGGGAGTGAGGACCAGGCCCAGGCAGAATTTGCTTTTTCAATTGACCATGAGGGCGCTGCTCTGGGATGCAGTGGGGCCTGGGCTGGGGAGGCAGCCACTCTCCTGCTTGCACCCCAGGCCAGCAGCACTCTGATACTGCAGGGCTGTGAGTATAGGGAGCACCCACCTCAGCCTAGAGGGGATGGTGGTACCCTCAGGTGCTGGAACTGACAGGAGGGCCAGGAGACCTGGGGTCAGTGTAAGGCCCTGAGCCACCCCATTGGAGACACTGAGAACTAAGAGGAACTTATGGGGTGGGCCGGTGTATAACCTCCAGCTGACTGGAGCGCTGCGTGGCTAGAACGTGGTTGTGGAGAGGATGTGTCCTCACCTCTTAGTCATGGTTGGCTAAGTCTGGAAACACACAGGTAACTGCTATGATCTGAACTTATGTATCCTCCCAAAATTCGTGTGGTGAAGCGTAAATCCCCAAAGCAATTGTATTTGGAGGTGGAACCTTTGGGAGTACTTAGGTTGTGAAGGTGGAGCTCTTATGAAGGGGATTAGTGCCCCTAGGAGGGGATGAAGAGACCAGGGTGCTCGGTCTTCACCAGCCAAAAGTACAAGAAATTGGCCATCTGTAAATCAGGAAAAGAGTCCCCACCAGAGCCAGGCCATGCTGGCACCCTGATCTCAGACTTTAGTCCCAGAACTGTGAGAAATTACTGTTTGTTGTTTAAGCCACCCAGTTTGTGGCATTCTTTTAAAGCAGCCTGAACTAAGACAGAAATATTAATATAAACTTATCTTTCCATTTGGTGCCTTAAAATTTCCCTCAATACAACTGAAGACAAGTTCCCAATTAAAGATTTTATTGAACAGATGGGCTCAGCTGTTAAATGTTGCAGGTAATCCTGAATAAAGTTTTATTTCTCTTTAAAACACGTTTCTACTGGATGAACATAGGCAAGATAAATGGAGTCATGAATTCAGGCAGGTAAGCTGCTCATGGATTATTATGCAGGGTTTTAACCTGTGAACAGTTGTTGTTAGTCATAATTCAGGGTCATTCTTCATCGTGCCTCTAAAAAGAAAAGCAAATGAATCAGAGCTTGGCTTTCTGGACATGAAGAACTCATTCTTAAGTTAGCCCACAGTGGAATTTCAGCTCAATTTTGAAAGGATTCCAATATCCCTCTAAGTCTGCTGAAAATCCACAGGAGACAGTGGAAAACCCATTTGCATTTAGCACCTGTGCTTGCCTCATAACTATGTATTATTATGATCTCTAGATGTCAAAAGTACCCAGAGAACTTTCCTTCCTTTGGCCAAATAAAAGGCAAATAAATGATGCATGTACAGTGTTAGCTTTCTGTAGCTACTGTAACGAATTAATATAAACTTAGTGACTTGAAACAGGAGAAGTTAATTCTCTTACAGACACTGAGTCTGAAGTCTAAGGTCAGGGTGTCGGCAGGGCTGGTTCCTGAGGCTTCAGGAGAGGATCTACTTCCTTGCTTCTTTTTTTTTTTTGAGATGGAGTTTCGCTCTTGTTACCCCGGCTGGAGTGCAATGGCGCGATCTCGGCTCATCGCAACCTCCGCCTCCTGGGTTCAGGCAATTCTCCTGCCTCAGCCTCCTGAGTAGCTGGGATTACAGGCACGCGCCACCATGCCCAGCTAATTTTCTGTATTTTTAGTAGAGATGGAGTTTCACCATGTTGACCAGGATGGTCTCGATCTCCTGACCTTGTGATCCACCCACCTCGGCCTCCCAAAGTGCTGGGATTACAGGCGTGAGCCACTGCGCCCAGCCTACTTCCTTGCTTCTTCTGGCTTCTGACAGCCACCCAGATTCCTGGACCCTGTGGCCCCTCCCTCCATCTTAAAAGTGCATCACCCCAAACTCTGGCTCCATCTTCACACCTATTTTTTCTGACTTTGACTGTTTGATGTCCCTTTATTCTAAGGGACTTTGTGATTACAGTATTGTGTCCACCCAGATGATCCAGGATAATTTCCCATCTCAGTCTCCCATCTTTCACATCATCACCTCTGCAAAGATTCCTTTGCCATATAAGGTAACACATTCACTGGTTCCAGAGATTAGGACATAAGCATCTTTGAGGAGGAGGGGGGTCACTATTCAGACCCCCACACTGTGAGGTATTCGTGGGAAAGTCTGGGAAATGAGCAGTCAGTTCTCAGACCCATCCTGCAGTATCCCAAAGGACCACTGGGGGGTCTCTTGCTCCCGCACAGTGGGGTTTTGCTTGGAGGGGGGATTGCTGTTCACTTGGCTTGCGTTAATAGAAAATCTTCCTTCTCTCTTTCCCGTCCTCCTCCATTCCTCTCTCTGTTAATAGCCACCTTGTTTTATGTGTGTGACGAGATGTTACATGAGACTCCCTGTGGCCCTGGAGTTTTGACGGAAAGCGCTCCGACCAGAATAGAATAGGTCCAAGTATTCTCATATCTCAGCGTGAGGGGCTACAGCAGCCAGCAAGACTTGCGAAGGAGACGCCCAAACTGGCTTCTGCCAGGGTTAGCCCTGCACCTCTCCCCAGTCCCCTGGTTACCAGCAAAGCTAAGACTATTGACAGAGGTTGTCTTAGTCCATTTGGGTTGCTTCAACAAAAACACCACAAACTGGGTGCCTTATAAACAATAGAAGTTTGTTGCTAGCAGTTCTGGAGGCTGAGAAGTCCAAGATCAAGGTGTTGGCAAATTTGGTTCATGGGTGGGGCCTTCTCACTGCTTCCTCACATGGACGAAGGGGACAACAAGCTCCCTTGGGGACATTTATCAGGGCACTAATCCCATTCATGAAGACTCTGCCCTCATTCCCTATCTCCTATTCCCACCACATTGAGGACTAAGCTTCAACATATGCATATTTGAGAGGCACAAACCTTCAGAATATGGCAGAGGTTGGAGGCAGGTGAAGCGAATCTCTGGGATGAGTCGTTGGGGTGCTAGAATTTGCTCTCCTCTGGTGGAACCAGGGCATCACCAGAGCCTCGCTGAGCGACGAGCGATGCACACAGTCATTTACTCAACAGATTTTTGCTAAGTTCCCTCTAATCTGGGCCCTGGAAATATATTTGCACTCGTGGATCTATATCCTTGAAGAGGAGACAATATTAAATGACAGAAGTAAAGTGTATTGTATGTAAGGTAATAATGAGTTCTAGTGAGAAAAAAATGTAACAGGGAGAGGTAGAGAAGGTGATTTTTGGGTACAGGCCAGTAGGAAGTGACAGAGGGAGCCACCAGGTCTTCTG